TTGTCGCGGGGAATGCATTTACGCACTTCACCGTCCAAATATCGGATTTTGTTCCCTTATCTGACAGTGACGTCACTTGTAAAATATCTGAGACTCTATCAGCCAGTGGTGGGATGGGCCCTTAGTCTATATTTATCCATTAATTTGTTGAAAAATAACTTCTTACGTTAAGTGTCAAAAACAGAATTTAAGTAAGTTCTGATACCTACTATTATTTGTAATTTAATATGTTTTGCGTACTTAAATATTTCTTTGTTTGTCATCAGGGCCTATCAGTACTACTCCAGAAATGCCGACGGCTGCCGACATGCAACTGGCTGCAGCTGTAGGTTCAAAAGGTGACCTAAATATATTTACACAATAATACATAAACTTTGATAATAACGTTCCTTATTTTTCGGACTAACAATCAATATCAAAATTCATTTATTTTTAAACTTTAAAATAAATTTGCATTTAAACTATTACGTTTCACAATATTACCGACACATTTTAATTAAAATAAAAATACTACATCACACACGTAGCAATTCGTAGAATGCCTGCGGTAGTACGTATATACTGGAAAGGCGATTCGTGGAAATGTTATGCCAACACCACCATCAGATAATTAGCAATAATTATTAATTAGTCAAATATGACTTTTCCTGTGATAAAAAAAGTTGGTTTTCCATTGAACATTTCATTTTAATGTTTGCACTATCGATACGGCATATCTAAATGTCATAAGTAACAAACAAGTTGGCAATTAAAGTCTAATAAAATGTCTTCCTACGAAACAAGAACCGAGACGGCGAGTGAAAAATAAAAAAAATGTCATACGTCTACGTCTACGCCGTAGCCGCGTAGCATCTAAGCGTACCGCGTAGCATTATTATTGCTTAATGAACAATTAATACCTTCCAGGGGCGAGTACCTACATAGCTATGACACTGGTGCTGCTACCTGCATTGGCGCAGTTGATACTCTGTTAAATGACTATGTGCAAGGTGAGTATTTTAGCGCCTGTCCCACCACTGGCTGATAGAAGCTCAGATAGCTAAAAATGACGCCACTGTCAGATAAGGAAACAAAATCCGTTACTTCCATCACATATGTTACACGTTAGATTGTTAACAGACAATTTACAACTTGATGAGACAGGCCCTTGATTTTTTATTGTGTAATTAAGTGTACAGTAAATCAATTGACATTAAACGAAAGAGTCACAGGTTCAGTCATCATATTCAGTACCTTATCCTACTCCCGTATGGTTGACGCAACGGGTTTTTGTCCTCCAAATAACTCTATCATACGTCATCTCAGTCGTCACCCCCTTCTTGATCATGTCACCTTTCACGAAATCCATCTCTTTCTTAGACCCAGACCTCTACCGGTGTACCCCTTCACATTCATAAATCAATAACACCACAGGTTAACTCTAAACGCAAAATTAGAGAGCGCGCACACCTTTGACTAAACTATCTCACAACTAAATAGATTGCTATGAGCTAGTATGAAGTTGCGCACACATCTCGATTTTTGTGCAACTAAACAGTTGAATTGACTACGAAACAATCGACAATCGCACAACAGTTGTGTGATAGTTTAGTCAAAGATGTACGCTCTTACTCTATAAAAAGTTAGTAGAAGTAGCATATTACAAAATTCTTTAAACAGAAATGTACGTTTAAAATAGAAATTACATGTGTGAGACGTGAAATGTTTATACAGCAGCTATCAATATTGTTGCAGGCGACATCGAGCGCACCGAGTGACGTAGCAAGTGGCACCGCAGCTGTTCTAGTCATAACGCCCAAAGCTCGCACCATCCCTCACTACACAATGGTGACATGTGATCTATCCCTAACACCCGTAACACACAGCCGCCAAAGCGAAATCAAAGCTATAAACACAAAGACTCTAAAACATAACACAGATTCTTGTTGGAAAACTGTTTAGTAAAAAGGCTCACTTGGCTATGATTTTAACAGTTTCAACTTAGTTCTGACTTCGCTTTCGCTGTTGTGTGTTACAGTTACATTCGGCTTTTTGTGTATCTTATACGAGAAACAATAATTGCGTGTTAAATACTGAATTATAGATATGTAAATGTACAGCTCTATGAATTTTCATATTTCAGAATATTTTTCTTAACGTGAAATAAACGGTAGTGTTAAATTGTAAATATTGTCTTTTATATTTATTGTGTACAGGCATCTCGGTGGAATAGAACTTTGCAAATTTTTGGCCTAAGGTTGATTATTTTTAGTTAACATTGATGTGTTAATTAGATTATAATAAAGTTATTTTAATCGTAAACGTAATAGCACTGTTGCTAAATTGTTTTTAAAACATAGTTATTTCAAAATGTAATTGTATGTCGCCAAACAAGTAATAATTGCAATTATGTTTAAAACATTTTGTTAAAATTATATTAGAATAAATGTTTTTAAAACAAATTTCATGCAATAGCTTTTCACATAATTAAATCGTATTTAAATTATTTCTCGGCAATATATTTGTATAAAATCTAGACAATTCTTTATATTTTATTGAGGGATGCTCCCTATATTAACAGGGTATCGCATTTTCTTTTGTCTTAAGTTACGCGTCACGGTTCTATATGAATTTATTGACAATATTATGTAAATCTAAATTTAGGAATTGCCCTTATTCTGTAAAATTTATCTGTCGCATCATTCGCTGTGTAATTTTCTTTTTAATGTTATATAATAACGCTTCGAGCAAATAGAAACATTAGAGCATACCTATATTCACGAATAAGGGCTCATGTAAATATTTGTATGGAATTTGTATGTACTGTAAGATTTCTTTCGTGTAAAGGAAATTAATAGCGCATTTGCTGTGCATACCGCCGTTTATGGATACGATCCAATAAAGACTTTATTGTGAAAAATTCTTAACATTAATAAAAACGGACGTTGTGTAACTTGTCTTTTATTCATTATTACCTCGTTCCAATTATGACTATTGCATATTTTTATAAGTTGCAAAAAACACATGGCCAATAGTATGGTGACGCTATTTAAGCCAGTAAAAAAAATTGGACTATTTAAAAAAAAAGTCTATTTTAAAAAGAGAATGCATAAGTCAGTTACGCCTACTGTTTTTTTTTTGTTTACTGTTTTATGAGTGGACATGTATACCAAATGGGAGGTCAAATGTGAGCTTTTCATTATAAATACTAACACTGCAGACTCAGTACAATTTTTGTGGGAAGTATAAAAATAAACTATTCAGCATAATGGTCGCGGTCTGCGGACCCGGCGGTCAATCAAACAGATACCTTATCGTATAGAAATTAGAAAACATTTTCTGTTGCGTTAGGCAGTTCCCGTGAGTTTCGGACTTATCGTTGAATAATAGATGCGCCGGCTCCGTTCCCTGGACGAATTACCCAACTAAATTATTGAGCACGCCACCTCTGACCGCCGGCATACGATATAAATCACCATCGTTACCGGTGCCATTGCCGAGAAGTTAGAGTCGATACGATGCGCCGTCGGAACGACGCTTCACTAATTCTACAACTATCTGTCAGAATAACAAACTTCGTTCAGAATAAAAAAGAGTATGATAGAGAAGTAAGCAAAAAAGCATTTGATCTGGTGATTACTACACTATAGAATGTTTCCCAATAATCGCAAGAGTATTTGATGGAACGTGAGCTGAATGAGCTTCAAGTCATATTTCTTGAGAAAAAATGCCAGGTTCTTCAGACGCATGAGAAACAAAAGACGGACGATGCGTTAATATCGCTTCATTTATCTTTTATTTTTACAGCCGACGTAAATCTAGGATATCCTAGGTCTAAAATGTTATGGTAAGAGACTAGTTTAGAAATAAGTTATGTTTTAGGTTAAAGCAATGTATTTATGGTAATCACTTTGACTTAGCTTGAACGCTTGTTGTACTAAGTAATGGTTTATGACCATAATCGGATGTTGAATTTGAATTTACGATGTCAAGTTCCGTGCAGCGTTACCAATGTACACCTGAACACATGAATACAACAGTTACTGAGATTGAGAAATAAAAAAAGTACATCAACGGTATTTTAATAATAACTAAGTAATGTATACTGTAAAATATTCCTTAGAACGGGCGGACACCCTTAACTATCACACAACTGCTGTGCGATTGTCCATTGTTTCGCAGCCAATTCAACTGTTTAGTTGCACAAATATCGAGTAGTGTGTGTACCTTCATACAAGCTCATACGTATCAAAGCGTGACTAAACAGTTGTGCGCTCTTAGTGTCTCTGAATTAGCAAATTGACCGCGTTCCATAGACGTAACACACAATACGAAGAATGCTTTTTAATTCTTCTTTTAGTAGGTTCGTGATTTTTTAAAAATAAACGTAATAAATATTTAATTTGCTCACCGTTTCCTATTTAATTATCTATTAGGCCTCACTTATACCAATCCAAATTAGTTGTCTGTTTGCTTCTGATTTAAATCAATAAAGTATTTCCATATCTCCATTACTAGATCCGTCATAATTCGGGTTCAATATCGTACAACTACTTTGTGATTTAGAATATTTTATATCCAAACGAGTTAGATCCTTATTGTAATTCTGTACACGGATCTACGTGCTGACGTCACTCACTTTGATCTTCTTCTTCAAATTTCAAGATTACCATAATTTGCCCAACATTTGTGAGTACTGAGCAACATTTTAAGTAAATACAAATGCACGGATAATTACAGGACATTTAACACTTAAAATCATAATTAATCCCGACTTTTATTAAAATTTTATCTATCTACACTAATATTATAAAGAAAAAAGATTTGTTATTTTTTCATGTATTTGATTCTCGTAAAAACTACTAGGCCTATTAAAAAAAAAGTTTATCTGCGAGTAAGACATGCTATTTTTTTTGCGGATGAAGTCGCGACCAACAGCTAGTTTTTTTATAGGAGAAGGGGGCAAATAAGCAGCGGGAACATTTAGAAGTTTCGACAGACATCCGCAATACCAAAGGAACTGCAGATCTAAGGTAATTATGGGGTTTTGAGTCTAGCAATCTGTTCTGACCAAAAAATCTATCAAAAAAGGCAACGCTGGACAAAATACACTTAGGTAAGTAACTATGACAAACAATTTTCCGTTGAACAAGAGAAATTTGATTATGGCAATTACAATAATGGCCCCGGCTCGCATGGTAATGAGCACCGTTAATATTATCACTCTCGTGAGAGCACTTGCGGCGATGCGCGGCCGAGATAAACTGATTGATGGCCGCGGCAATAGCATCGCGCTCAGATATTTATCTTTATAATTTATACCTAGGGCCTACCTGCCAGGTGTTTACCCAACACAAAAATACAATCTTTAGTAAAGATGCTAATTATATTAACCATTTTATTGAATATGTAGCGTTTAATATTCATTAAAGCCAGTATCTATTCCAGTCTATTCTAATATTATAAAAAGGAACGATAAAATACTTGAATGTTGATTAGAATCTTTAGCACAAATGTAAATGTAAAAGTTTCTGTCGATTTTTTTTTAAATTTATGTGGACGGACTCACGGCAACAGCCAGTATTTAAATTATTTAAAAAATTGTAATAATGTAATAATTTGTTAAATAAAAGTCTTCTATTAGTGATTTAATTCTTAATTTTTCCTATTAAATAATAAAATATATGCATATTGTAGTAAGAGTTGAAAGAAAAAAATCTGGTATCATTTATTGCTCATATCTCAAACAGTATCTTCATAACTCACAGTCAATATAAGGGAACTAGTTTATGAATGGGCTCGGGTATATTTCATTTCTAGTCGTGATACGTCCCTCTATTTGTCATTCCGTGCAAGGTGGCCACTTCTACGTGAGTCGAGCTTACGCACTCACCTGTACACGGATACTTATATACTAGAAGTGATAGAAAGAAAGATCAAGAAGGGAGTGACTGAGATGACGGAGGATAGAGTTATTTGGAGGACGAAAGCCCGGTGCGCCGCGGGAGTAGAATAAGGTAGAGGAGGAGGAAAAAAAAATTAAAAAACCGTGTTGAGTATCTGATTTCATATTACTGTAAAAAGTTTAAATTAATTTTCGAAGAATGTGATGAATATCTTTATAATCTATACTAATATAGATTAAACACATATTTCTTTTTTATGGAAGATGCCAGAAATTACAGCACATTTTTGATAAATTCCTTTTTAATTACCTACACTTATCGCATAGGCTGGGCTGTATATTTTCCCGCTATATCATTTAAAGAGTGAATTTGGAAAGAATAAACATGCTTGAAATGTGGAATCAGGAGTTCAGCTTCTGAATTCTGGAGTTACCATTCAAATTATACTACTTCAAAAATTATCCCATTTATTTTCTCCACCAATATGGTATAAAATATATTTACAATATCAAATGTAATCCATCCAGTGCAAAAGAAATTCTTATCTATGTCGAGACGTCTCATTTGTTTTGCACGACGCACGTAATAACACGATCAAAGCGTATGAGAATTTTGACAGCACGACGTGACGTGTAAACTTGAACAGGGGCCTAAAGTATAACCCGGCTGAATTGAGTAATGAACTGTAAAGAAAAAGTAAAGGATACCTCCGGTTTAAAGGCTATTAACCATATACCTATAGACTACGTTGCGTTATTGCGTGTTTATGTTTTTAAGACAATAACTACGTATAGGTTAAGGAGGTTCTAGTGTTACAAATTATAATTATGTCAGAGTTTATGAAAGATCCATGAAAATATTAATTTTAGAGATAATTTTCTGGGCTGTTAATCTAAACGTATCTAGATTTATGAAAAACATAAAAATTGATTTCTTTATGAATTCCGTCTAAGAAAATCAACTCCTTAACTAGAAGATAGGAACCTTGTACTTTTACAAAAAAAAAATCAAAACATGACATCCACAAATTATAAGATAAACAGCATATTTTAGTCGTCAAAAAGAACATCATCAGAAAATAGTTGAAAAAGGATATATAACATTTTGACGTGCATTCTGCAATAAACGTAGCCGTTAGTCCTCATAATGTAGGCAACACATGCGAGACTAAATTTGCAAGCTCTGCGCATTCATCATACACTCTGGACACGGCTTTAATGGATTTATATCTCTCTCTAAAATTTATCAACTTGGAACTGTAACATGGTCCGATGAATTTTGATCTTTTGTTCCAATTTGTGTTCCAATTTTTGACGCTACAACGTGTATTGTAATTTATTTTAAATTAGCGCTCCTGAGTTCCACCGTGTAGTATTAGAAAACATACTATAAAAAACATATCCCTCGAGAACCTGGCGCTTTAGGAATGAACCGTACCCAACCTGTATTTGATACTATGGTTTATATCTGTATAAAATTTCAATAAGATGCTGAGCAATTGCATAATTATACAGTAGTTAAACACAGTTAAACACGATAAAACAAAATTAATATATCCCACGGGAACTGTTATTCCCGGAATCAAAAGTAGCCGATATGTACTTCGAAACTACCCTTTACGTTTATGTCAAATTTTAGCCAGTTCCATTAAGCCGTTTATGCTATAAACTCGAACAACATATATGAATCCATCAAAACTTTCGAATTTATAACATTAGTAAGAAGACAAAAAAAAATATAGCAATAATATTCAATAATCCAGTGAGCAAATATTGTAATAAAAATTGCTAAATCACTTTATTTAATTCCCACATCAAAAATTAAATATTTATGAATGATTTTATCTCTAAAATGCAACTTCATTTTAAAAATACAAAAATCTTTTTTGTTATTAAATAAAAATACCATTTTTAAAATTGACAAATCAATTTAAAAATCATAAATAAGATTAATTCATTGGGATATTGAATTACAAAAGTATTAAAAACGAATTTATTTCAATATACTTTTCATTAATATTTAACCAAAAATTTTATTTTT